CTATATAAGTACAAACAGTCCACTATCACACATATTTATAGTTTCTCATTAAAGTATAATGTAACTTTGTATAGCATTTACCTATATGCATTACAAATACGCAACTCATTTATAAACTATTCTTAAAAGTACCTACCTAATTATATACCTAATATTTAACCAAGTGCTCACACATATGCACGTTGTTAACTATTTTACTATGAAACACAAAAAAACTTACCTTTGAATTCTATTTCTGTTCATTGCTTCAACGTTTGATTTCAATTTTCGTTTTCTGGTACAAGCATATTTTTTACGTTTATGGTCCATATCGAAATTAAAAGTTATAAAACAAATACAAAATGATTTATAAACCCTTAAAGAATTATATGCAAAAAAATAATAAAGTAGAGCAACTTTCAATTCGTAACAATGCGCAACCAAGATTAGGGAAAGAGAGAGAAAGAGGAATGTTAGAGCGAGAGGAAGTGCAAAAATTTGGCACAGACAAGACGTCTGAACGCTACAGCCGCTCAGCGGCTACTAAGGAATATTGCCCGCAATTATTGTTTATAAAGTCAATATTTTATAGGTCGATCGAAATAATTATTAATTTTGAAATAAAGTGGTTTAAATTATTATTTTTTAATATTTGTCTAATTAAACACCTGCCCTTGAGAAAAAAATAATTATAGCATAAATATTTTCAGCTATTGCTATGAAACAAACAGTTTTTTATGAGGCGAAAACAGCGAAATTTAACGAAATTGAGACCTCTTATTTAAGACAATGAAAGATATTTAGAAAAAAAGAAACAGCGCATTTTGGAGATGAAGATGTTTAGCTATTAACGCGCTGAATAGATTTCGCCTTTTTTATTATCGATTGCCTTATAATAGTACACGAACAAAGCTCGAAATTGCGTTGGGTGCGAGAGAGCTCTATTTACCGTTTGATTTATCTAACATAGACCACATAGATGAACCAAAAAAAAAATTTAGCCATTACTTATAATCTGGGTATTTATGTGTTATCAAAATATTTTACTCTGAAACAATAATTTGCTGTAAAAAAAGAAATCAAAGTGGCGCTAATGATTCGATGTGAGTCAACTTTAAAAGACTGTAGCCTTAAATGCGGCTAGGTTTGTCGAGCGGTATTTTCTAAAACCATTTTGGGCGTCGTCGAAAATATTGTACGTTTCACAAAATGAGTATAATCGTTTGAACATAGCTCTTTCAAAAAATTTTGAAATTACGGGTAAGAGTGCAATGGGTCGGTAGTTATTGGGGTCCGTTTTTTTTTGTCTTTTTTATGTATTGGCTTTATAATAGCAATTTTTAGTAGGTCAGGGAATACTCCTTCAGAAAAGGATTGATTTATAATTAAAGTTAACGACGGAACTATTTATTCGGCACATTTTTTAATAAGAGTGGACGGCAGCTCATCAACACCGAAGCTAGATTTTAATTTTAGCTGTCGCACCAATGATATTACCTCTCGTTCATCCACTGGGGTTAAGAACATCGAGTGCAGAGAGGGGCACATAAACGGGCTCTGATAGGAGTAATAGTGTTCTGTGTAACCGGGCGGCCGCGTGGCGCGAGCGCACTACCTGCCGCGCCGCTCCCGACCACAGAACACATTTACCCTGACGGGCTCCCGACTGACGCGAATAGTTCGTTAAAAACATTAGAAACCTCATGCGGGTCAGATATTGGTTCATTGTTGATATGCAATTTAATATTTTCATTATATTTTTTTACCTTAACCTGCTTTGTTTTTTCATTTATTATTTGCCACATACATTTAATTTTATTAGTTGCTTTATTCATTCTTTTAATTGATTGTAATTGTTTTGATTTTATTATAACCTTTTTTAAATATTTTTCATATTGTTTGTAATAATTTTGTAAAATTTTATTTTTCGAATACATAACATGAATTTTTAGTAATCTTTTATGTTTACAAGATTTTTTAATACCGTATGTTAGCCATGATTTATATCGTTGTTTATTATAAATTTTTAATCGTTTATATGGAATACAATATTCTAGTGCATCGTGTAAAATTTTATTTAGTGAATTGTAATTTCCGTCGACAGTTTTATTATTAGAAATGAACTTTTGCCAGTTTGTATTTTGTAAATATTGTTTGAATTTATTTATATTATTTTCATTGTATATTCTTTTACATATATAAAAGTAAGGATTGTTATTTTGTTCTGATGGAACATTTTTTAATTGTAGCATTGCACATTTGTGGTCTGAAAAGCCTAACTCTAATACATCAACGTAGCACTTACGTTTTTTTGACTGAAATACATTTTTCCAGGCGTGTGGGTTCTTTTATAAGTGGCTTAAAATTTGACTCTAGCATGGTATTTAGGAGTTCTGATGATTGTTTTGATTTTACTAATATATTCACATTAAAATCGCCACCAATAATAATTTTTTTATCTTTATATTTTTTTATGATATTATATTGAAGAAGTTGATTTAATCGACTGTAAAATATGTCTGTCTCTCTACTGTTCCCATATAATGTAATTAACAATATATCCAATGCCGAAAGTTCAACAGCACAAACTTCAATAATATATTCAATAGACATGTACATGATATCCGTTCGTTCAACATATTCGATGTTGTTTTTTTAGTAATATGCACACACACACACACATACACACCGCCGCCGATATATTTTTCTCTGTGGAACGCTGCAGCCAAGTGGTAATCGCTAAGTTGCACTTGTGAGGCCTTATTTTTTGTAAGCCAGGTTTCGGAGATACAAATTGCTTGGTATTCATTTTTGTGGTCATCCAGGAATGATTCTAATAAATCTCTCTTATTAAATAAGCTTTGCATGTTTTGAAAAATAATGTTAAAAGTAGGTGCTGTGCTGCTCACGAAAGTTATAATTTTTTTTTATTTATGTTTTTCGAAATTATATCTGGGAACTGAAGCGGGTACCGGTAGACTGGTGCAAAGCCGTGATAGTCCCAGTATATAAAGGAAAAGGGTCGCGGCAGGACTGTAAAAACTACCGTGGCATCAGCCTTCTTAGCATTGTGGGAAAACTGTACGCTAAGGTACTGATTGAAAGGGTCATGAAAGAAACTGATGGAAAAATTTGGGATGTACAAGCGGGATTTAGAAAGGGAATGGGATGTACAGATCAAGTCTTTTCCACGCGCATGATCGCGGAGAAGTTTCTGGCCAAAAACCAAAAGGTTTTTTGTGCGTTCATGGACTTTGAAAAGGCCTATGACAAAGTGGATAGGGATTTACTATGGCAAACACTGACCTCATTTGGGTTGAGCGCTGGCTTGATAAAGGCATTGGAGTCTCTTTATAGGGACTCTAGTGCTTGTGTTAGGATCAACGGGGTCTATTCAGGCTGGTTTGACATCCATAAAGATGTCAGACAGGGCTGTGTGGCTTCCCCGTGGCTGTTCAACCTATTTATGGACAGTTGTTTGCAAAATTTGAAAGTTGAAGAATGCGGATTAAGAATGGGTGAGTTAACCGTCAAATGCCTTTTGTACGCCCCCAAAATAGCCTTCAACCACAACAATCACCAACAACTGAGGTTAATGTGACGATGAGAAGGAAGCAAACAACAAGCTCGTATGAATAAAACTAAATTTACGGATTTTATCGCGTTTATTTCACTACTTTTACTTATTTTTAATTCCCGACGTTTCGGGTCCTTTACAGCACCCATGGTCACGGGGGGGACTGAGATGTTTGACGTCCCAATGTCATAGTTAGTCCGGCTACCTTCAGTTTTTGAATATTAATTTTTGGTCCGATTTACGCAAAACGAGCTTCCCGGAGCGTCGGTGCTTCACGTCACGACGCTCCGGGAAGTCTGCAGTCTGCGAATATGTTCAAGATCGTCCCCACCATTACATTCGTTTTGATAAACCACAAATTCTCGCAAAAGAACACCGATTCCTACCAAGGATGATACGCGAGGCTATTGAAATTAAAAAACATCCCAATTTCAATAGAGAAGATGGATGGGTGCTGCCACCTGCTTGGGATCCTATAATTAACAAAATTAAACCCAAACCTAAGCATACCACTGCAAGACTTCATGATACTATAAGCTCGTTTTGCGTAAATCGGACCAAAAATTAATATTCAAAAACTGAAGGTAGCCGGACTAACTATGACATTGGGACGTCAAACATCTCAGTCCCCCGTGACCATGGGTGTTGTATAGCACCCGAAACGTCGGGAATTAAAAATAAGTAAAAGCAGTTAATTAAACGCGATAAAATCCGTAAATTTAGTTTTATTCAATGTGTAGTGTTCGCGTAAATTTAAGAAATCATTAAGCTCGTATGATACAACCATGGTCTATGATGATGATGAAAGTATTTTGGGGAATACATGTACGGAGAACAACTTGAAAAATTACAACTGTCAAATTGACTCACTACTGCTTACCCAAATAGAAGAACTTTTAGAAAAAAAAACTGGAAAACAATAAGAATACACTATTATCAGATTTAAAAACTATGTTATTACAAGAAATTTCAACTACAGTAACAAATGAAATATCACTACATATAAATACTATATCTACAGAACAACATACTATGAAAACAGAAATAAACGTACTAAACACACAAATAAAAGATCTCCAGAATGAAACAAATAGATTGCAGTTAGAAATTAACGAATTACAGCGAACAATGTCAATACAAACAAAACAGCAAGCAGAGTGGTTGTACAATTTCGAAAATAATAGGAAGTTTGTTCTATACGGATTGGATGAATACTACTGGGAGACTGAACACGAACTGCATAACCGTGTGACTTACATATTTCAGAATTTATTAAATATTAATTTGGAAGAGTATACAGAAAGTATAATAGTGATAATGAATCTGAAAAAATTAAAGAGAAGTAATAGTAGTTGAAGCTTTAGTTCACCAACCTCCTTGACTCGCCAAGACATCTGCTAGTGAAGTAAGCAACGATTTTGAAAATCAAGTCGTGGCAGAAGATATGATCCAGGAAATAGAAGTTACAAATGAAGAAAGCCCTGACTTAGACATAGGTAGTGAAGTAATTTTGATGGATGAAGAAATTATAGAAGAAAATAATATAGTAAATGAGACAAGTCGTGATTTAAAGGGCATGACGACTGAGAAGTGTACGGGCAAGGGAGACGTTGAAGTCCCGAAAATAAAAGAAGGTACATATTGTGTCTTTAGAGAAGAGGGTAGTTTGTTCCCAGGAAGGATTCAAAAATTCAACATTCCTTACAAGTCTCTGTGCTCCAAAAAAACTTTTATGAGGTTGGTTTTGGCCCTCTAAAGCTGACATATGTCAAATCGATAAAGGCCAATATAATAAGTGTTTTACAAGAGCAACAGTTATCCAAAAAAGGCGGCCAACTTTTTATTGAAAATGACATTTTGTACGTGCAATGGGGTGAAAGAGTTTGCTTAAAAATTGTTGCTTAGAAATTCTGTCATATTACGTACATTTTCAGAAATGAACAACTGTACATAATTAAAAATCCAATGGTTCTGCGTCTGATCTACTCAGCGGCGAAATGCGTACGTAGCGAATATTACGTACATTTCCAGAAATGAACAACTATTAACATTAAAATACATCAATCGCCTAGAACGTGCTAGCCCCGACTGCGTATTACACCCTAGGTGAATTGCGATTTTAGGTAATTATTTCACGCAGGTAGCAAGAGTGACAGAGGCCTGCCAGTACCTAATAATTTACAACACTTGTCTAAATGCCTAATTTATCCACTTAATCTATTGTTTTGCCACTGTGCTAGTCTCCACCCACTTTAATTCGAATTCACAGGTTAAATAAATCAAATACCTGGTTCGATTCCCCACTAATGAAAAATATACTTAAATGAAAATATACATATATACGCATATTTAATTAAAAATACATACTAAACCAATAAAAAAGATACAATATAGTAAAGGAAATTATAATATACATAACCAAAAAATTTATCAGGTAATTTTAAATAATATGCCTCAAGCTTACGTTTAAATGTATTTATTGAAGGAGCATCTCTTAAATCTCGTGGAAGGTTATTCCAAAGTGTTAGTAATTTAATTTTTAAATTATCTATATAATTTTTTAAAATTTAAATTGATGGTACCGTGAAGGAATCCGAGTAGTATGTAGATTTATGCTTCGGGATAGTTAGAATTTTATTGGTCATCGAACGGGTTAAGCTTAAATATGAAAATCGCTCTTTTAGATAAGTTTGGGAACAAGGATTGTGAAAAATACCATACAAAGTGGTTAGAAGGTGTGTGTTCCGCCGAAAACGGATGTCGAACCACTTAAGACTTGAGCGAAATTGTGATACATATTCAAACTTGCGCAGGCCAAAAAATATAGCGTATGCACAGATTGAGCAGACGGTCGAGTTTGCTAAGCAGCTCCTCAGTTATATCTGTATAGGCAACATCGGCATAATCTAAAATAGGGGTAACAGAGAGTTGACTAGCGTAGCCATAGAATACTATAATACACAAGAGAATGGCTGTCAACCTTATTTTAAACGACCGACAACAAGTAATGACGTCGTATTATGACTACTACATAGCCGATTCGCTGTGTTGACAGACAGATTTTAATATATATTTATTTGTAAATAGCGTGCAATTTGGCATTTTCTAAATAATTTGCATGGGTTTGGAAACGATTGCAACGTCAAAACACATCTCGTTTTGACGTTTATACGTGTGAATTGACATGTTAGTGACATTTTAGTGGCTACGCGGGCTCCGCCCACTCCCCCGTTCTATTGTGTATGTATTATAGTATTCTATGAGCGTAACCTTGGCCGTCTGAGGAATAAATTTTTGCCAGAGCTTTAATGAATGCATAGTTCTAAAAATACGTCCCCTGACCCCATTTACCTTTAGCACCCAACTTAGATCGTCAGATAAAATTAAGCCAAGGTTCTTAACCTGCCTAACATACCTAACCTACCTAAGATAGGTATTGTATATTTATTAATTTGTTTTGTTACTTGTTACTTTATGAGTGTATCTTTTATGTAATGTATGTATTTTTATTGTAGCTACAGTTCCTCCTAAATAATATAAATAAATAAAGCTCGACTGTCGCTTTTAGAGGTATAGATAAGTAGCAGTCTCACTTACGGAGGTCCATGAGGGATAAACGACTCTTTCTTATAAAGTTTTCTCACTTATCTAGTTCTCACTTACCCCGGTTTGACTGTATACCCTCTTTGGTATATTACTTGAAGCAGTTGTAAGAGCTAGAAGGGGCACTGAGTCCTGATAAATAAAATGAAATTCCTGATAAATAAATAATATGAAAAATTAATAAAATATGAAATACAAAAATGTTTATTTCCTGTTAAATTTCCTTTTTTTAATGTTTTCGTTCGTCCTCGATCGTTTGTTTTTTCGACGTTTGCTATTTTAAATAGGTAAAGGTATAATAGCCAAAATCCAAAAGAATAAACTTAATTGTCATAAATATCCATGATATATATTTTTATACACGCTTTTTTGCGTTCCTCGAAATTTTTCCATGATCATAGATTATTAAATAATAATAACAGTATTATGATCCGTATACACGTTACGTTTACTATTTTAAGCCAGATGCTGATAGTATCGTTATCTACTTAGACATATTTATAATATTCATAATTCGTAAATAAAAATCGTATAGTTTGGCATTATTTGGGTGACACCTATGTTAAAAAATGGACTTGTGAAGGCTATAATGAATGAATTGTTCTTAGCCTTTTTTCGATTGATACATACTTACACTACTTTTTTGATACATACACTACACCCCTTATTTCTCGTAAGAGATAACATGTAACCCTTAATGCACAAAGTCTAAAATCATTGTGCATTAAGGGTTAAGGCAGTAGAGAAGCTTAAAGTTCATCTGTTAGTGTTAAAGATCAAATTGTTCTCCTATTGAGGGCTTGTAATGTGCGTTTGCACGTACCTAAGTACATTACCATACCTAAGTACTAATTTTATACCTAGTACCACAGAATAAATAGTAGTTCAAGAACTAGTACGCAAGTCCACCGGTTCAACAGGACAGCTTTTAGGTGAACTCGTTAAAAAAAATCAAATAAGTCCACACGCCTGTATCGCCTGTCTATTTATCTAACTTTTTAGGTACGTGCTCTGAGTTGCGTGTAGACGTAAATTATTTCAATTCATTCCTGTAAATCACACTTGTTTAAAAAAAATAGTTTTGTTAAAAATCAAAAACCGAGTTTATGTACCAGAAGAGAATAAATAATTCATAATATAGTTTCTGAAGTCGATGCTAAAACTCATTGATACAAAAATGAAAGCGCTGTACTTCAGAAAAATTATTCTTTTATTTTTTAATTAGTTTTTGAAGTCTGTTTTACGGTTTTTTACCAATTTAGATGAACTAAGCATAACTATACACGATATGCACAATATCATTATCTCAGACAGCTCCGTGGCAGAATGGCTTTGCAATGAGTTGCAATGCTGGGGTCGCGGGTTCGAATCCCGCAAGGAACAAGTATTTGTCTTTGTGCAAATTATGTTTATAAACTTCCTTCACGACTCAGGAGTAAATCCTACTGTAGGGGTAAAATAATAAATAGGTAACAATTGGAATGTCGTCTAATTAATTACAATAAATACTTCATTCCCGGTTTTGTCACCCTTAGGGATAAATTTATGCTGCATAAAATGGGATAACCTTTGACACCAACTTTATCAGTTTTAGCTTACTTCAACATCAACAATATTACAGCCCTTCACAAGTCCACTGCTAAACATAGGCCTCCCCCAAGTAATGCCACAAAGCACTCCCCAGACTTCCTGCATATCTTACCAGGTCGTCACTCCATCTAGTGGGGGGTCGCCCTACACTACGCCTACCGGTACGAGGCTGCCACTCGAGAACCTTTCTTCCCCATCGGTTATCGGTTCTTCGAGCTATATGGCCGGCCCATTGCCACTTCAGCTTACTAATCCGTTGGGCTATGTCGGTCACTCTGGTTCTACTGCGGATATTAGCTTACTTACATTAATTTAAATTATTGTATTATGTAGTCAATTAATTTTTAATAATATGTTAATGTATTTTTAGATTATTCTAAGACAAGTTACACTATTGTATCTGAGAGGATTTATAGACTATTTATATAGTTAATTTATTTATTTAGATATTTAAAAAATACTTTTTTTAGATATTTTTTTATAATTACACAAAATTTTCACATCTTCGTGTAACGGCAGCGTAAGAGAAATTTTTAAGTGATAGTCACGCTGCAGATGTATTATGGCTACTGCATGAATGGGTCGACTCGACCGGGGTAGGACTACGCTCTCAAGAATATCTTAATGCTGCTGTGTTTGGTATGGTGAGTGTAGAGAACCGGAGACTCTTTTACTGGAAACGAGGCTTTCCATCTTAATCCTTAGGGGTGATAAGTGATAACGCATCTGTATTCTCATTCTGATACTTAATCGATACATAAATATCATTTCTGCTACTTTATCGTAAATATAGATATCTATGGGCCACAGCATCCACTTATCATCAGGAGAACTGTGTGCTCGTTTGTCACCCTTATTCTATAAAATAACGAGTGTTTTTTTTCATAATTTAAAAAAATTACCACGTTTTTATCATATTCTTGCTTTGTCATCTGAATTTCAGCCATATTCAAAATTATTTCTTATATTTACGCGAACACTACACATTAAATGAAACTATTTTTAACGGATTTTATCGCGTTTAATTTATTTTTTAGTTCCCGATGTTTCGGGTTCTTTACAGTGCACTGAGGTGTTTGACGTCGCGATGTCATAGTAAGCTCGGCTACCTTCAGTTATTAATATTAATTTTTAGTCCGATCTTAGCAGGATGAGCTTACAGTACCATGAGGTCTTGTAGTGGTATGCTTGGGTTCAGATTTAATTTTATTAATTATAGGATCCCAAGCAGATTGTAGTACCCATTCATCTTATCAAATTAGGAAGTTTTTTAATCTCAGTAGCCTCGCGAATAGACATTTGTGTCAATCATGAATGATTCGTTAATTTGAGCTGGTACACTTAAAAGTATTGATGATTCATTCTTCTGTTTTCGAATGTTTTGGTACAACCAATCATAAACAATTGACGGAACCTTTTTAACTCGTGATTGGTGTGAATTGTGAATGAGTCGAAACCGACCGAATCCCGAATGATCTGAATGAATTGTTTTTAGTGTAGGAATACTTTTAAGTGTACCAGCTCAAACGAACCTGATTATACCTATATTATGTGAATAATAGA